GTTCCCCTTGATCCTGCCCTACCAGGTCTCCCACACCCACCTCCCCACCAATTTGGATCGCTTGTTCTTCCCTTGTCCCTGAGATTTTTATAGAAAATTAAATCAAAATAAGGATTATGAGTTGTTCTGAGTCTATAAAATCCCTGATAAAACTTTTATTCACTCAGGCATCAATGCTGACTCATTGTGGGTTTCTGAGATTGTAACTGATTACAGGAGTTGAAAGCCTGGTCTTTCTCCCTTGAAGCTGCTGGTGGTTTCAAACTGCTGACCATGCGGCTTGCAGCCAAACACGTAGCCGCTATACAACCAGGGCTTCTCCTAACAGATAACACCTCTCCATACATAGAGAAAAGGCTGATTTAAGGTGGAAAAAAATCATTATTTTTAAGTGCATTTATGGATTTTAAAGGAAACTCCAGTTTTTTAAGCTGAGAGTAAAAATAAGGTATTTTAGCTAATTCACCAGCTTTTAAATTTATTTGTATTTCTTGTTTTGTGAACTAACCCTTTTTTTTTAACACGCCCCTTTTTTATACTTGCTAGGTGCCAATACTATACCAGATACTATACTAAGCACCAAGACCTACATTTGTACATGTGGTCTCCTTAAGGTCGTCTCTTGAAACAACAAATTCACATCTGACTAGCCTTGTATGTTGGAGGATTGAAGTGTGTGTGCGTCACTCTTTAGAACATGCTAGTTCAGATGAGAGCTGGATTTGGCACAGAGCCTTCATGCGTAGGTCCCAAACTTCTTGGGCCTACTACTGCCCCTTTTCAGAGAAGTACTCTGCCTCCCTGGCAATGAAGGCACTTTTATACTATAGCTCACGAGCTAGTATAAAGTATAGGCATCTGCTTTTGCAGCTTCCCCCTGCCCCCATCATCCCATTGTTCCCTAAGGAGCAATATTGCCCACTTTGGTATGTACTACTCTAATGCCAGAAAGGCCCATTAGCCAGCGTTACCACCTGTCGAAGCTGCGAGCATCTGAGCACAGCCCCAGCGACCCACAGGTCCCAGGAACTCCAACTCTCGCCTACTTTCCTCTGCTCAGGCAGGTGATTCTGATGGGTGGAAGCTCCTGGCTGGCATACCTCCCCTTGAGCCTCCTGAGAGGTAGCGAGTATTATGAGCTATTGCTTCTAAGAGCCTTGTGAGCCCCTAGTGAGGCTGACATTAAAATCCATTCCCACTAAGGCTCAGTTGTGGAGTTCCTGGCTGACTTGTCCCACATAGGTTGAAACTAGCCCAAAGTGAAAATAACTTCACAATTATTTACTTTTTCTTTTAATACAATCCCTAAATATTCATTTTTAGTTTGAGCTGTGTTTATTCGGCAGGTTTGATAGATTATGCGATGCAGTTAGGCCTTGGAAATAGACACTTGGAGTTAGAAGGAATTTGAAGTGATCCTACTAGTTAATTTCTCTCTGCTCTTCTCAAATACTGTTGTGTTTTTAAAGAACTGGTTAGAAAGGTGACTCTCTGTTGTATTCTTGAAATTCTAAAGGGACGTCTGTGCCTCCTAAATCTAAATTATGTTCTGTCACTTAAAATCGTGTCTGACCTTTGTTTTCTTAAACATATTTAGATGATCACAGAGTTATTTAGGTAATCATCCAAGCGAGGCCCCGTGGAGGAAGGAGCTGTGCAGCTCACAGCCTTTGTAGGCGTGCTGGAGCGTCCTGCTTGCACGGGGCTGTTTTCGAGCCTGCATTAATCATGCTACCCTAAATGTTCCCATTTCTTGGAGAGCTTAGACCCCAACCCTGAGCTTCAAACTGAAATCGGAATCCAGTGAATTTTTAGTAGGATACTTAATGGTGCGTGGACAAAGGGTATTCAAAAAGTTCATGGAAAATTCCATGTCTTTTATATCCATTTTCTAGGAACTTTTGGAAGCACCCATGTATGTTAGCAAGTCTCATGACATATAAAGTTTTCATGAGGACCGGCTTATATTTACATGGGTTTTTAGTCACCTTTTGATTTTTAAGGACTGAAGTACGAGTTGTAAGTTGAATGGGATAGGGGTCTGTCATTCAACTTAAAATACAAACGGGTGTAATCTGCTATATTTCGACCGGCTTTTGAAAGATATTCAACTCAGGACTGGCCATACTTTTAGGAGCATTATCTTTTTATCCTGGCATGCACTTGAATGTCAAAATTGACTCCCCCCACCCCTCCCCCACCCTTCGGCAGTGCCCATGATTGGGCGGCAGCGGTGGGAAGTGAGACAGGGAGACTTAGGACCATGTGGGAGGGGCAGGCACCCCGAGAATGGAGCTGAGCGCAGCAGGGTCGGTACATCTTGGGACGGTGGAGTGGCCGCCCTGCCTGGGGCAGAAGGGCTCCTTTGGTAGAAGGACGCTGTGCTTGGGAACGGAAAGATGGGCGGCATCGCCTGCTCCAAGCGGCTGCCCCGGAATCCATGCGCACATCATCGATGGTCTTCCTTCTTCGTTGTCGTGGCAGATGTAGACCAAAATTTGATGGATCGCCTCCAGAGAGTGAATAACAGTCTCTCTAGCCAAATTAGCCGTTTGCAGAACATCCGGAAGACCATCCAAGAGACCGGGAATTTAGCTGAACAAGCACGTGCCCGCGTGGAGAGCACCGAAAGGCTGGTGGAAATCGCTTCCCGGGAACTGGAGAAGGCGAAAGTTGCCGTTGCCAATGTGGTGAGTGCTTGGGGGAGTCTGAAGTGGGGTGGGCTTGGGGGTCTCGGAGCAGTAAGTCTCTTACTGGCAGGAGAGTGTTTCTTCAGCTAAATTGACCCCCTGTCTCCTTTCATTTGCCTTGTACATGGAGCGAGAAAGCCACACCGCTCGTGGATAGGATGAAATAATTACCAGCGAGCAATAACAGAAGGACCTTCTGGCTTCTCCCTGAAGCTTTGTCCCTCCTTTGGCTCTTGACCATTTGATCTTCTTCGATCCTTTACTGAAAAGAGAAATAGCAGTCCACCATCACAGATGTTGATGTCACACAGAGGCTTACTGCTGAATTTACGTGATTCGGCCCTCTGAGATCAGTGCTTTGTGCATCTCTGTTCCAGTCAATTGCTCAACCGGACTCCACGGGGGACCCCAACAACATGACGCTCTTGGCAGAAGAGGCACGGGAGCTTGCTGAACGGTAACCTCCAGACCCCTGGTCCCCCGTTCAGGTCGCGCTTCCCTCGTGGTGGGTGCCCACCTGCGGCCCCTCCCCACAGCACGTTCCGGAACACTGCCTTCAGCATGCAGCTCGCTGCCCTTTTCTGGAATGTCCTCAGCCATGCTTACTGTGTCCTTGTCCTCTGGAATGAGACAATGTACCGTGGGCATTAGGATAGGATGACTTACAGGGGAAAGAGGTTGTTTGTTTGTTTTTAATGAAAATATTCATTTCTTTCTTCTCTTTTTGAGTCTCAGTAGACTAATCCTAGGTACATTGGAAAACCAGCCAAAGAACACAGGCAATAGATCCTGCTTTAAAAATATATATATTTTAAACATGTTTTAAGTGTAAGGTAACGTCTCCAGAAGACTTTACATTATATAGGATAGCAAGTTAAAATCTTTTTTTTAAACTTGCTTAAAAGTATCCTTCACAAAGCAGTCATTTTATATTTTCTTCACTGCTAGAACAACTATTGACATACTGGTCTCCAAGCTTTGTAAATCTTTATAGGAGCAGACAGCCTTCTCCTTCTCCCAAGGAATGGCGGGTGGGCTTGAACTGCGGACCTTGCTGTTAGTAGTCCAGTACTTCCTCAACTGGGCCACCGGGGCTCCTTATCATGGGTTCCCCCAAAAATGTTTATTGAACCCAGAACCGTTTACAGACCTGATTTACAGTCGTGAGATAGATACCTTTGATGGAGAGATGAGTGCAGGGTGCGTGAGTACACTTAATATCAGAATTCTAGCCCTATTGGTTGAGCTTCTTCCCTTAACACCAGCTCTCTTTTCAGTCTGGGTAAATGGCAGTCTGTGAGCCGTGTCATCTGGGTCACAGAACACGGATGGTTTCATAGCTGGATTTTCTTACTGAAAGAAGATAGCTGAACGCACTTTGGTTCGCTCCCAAGAGTGTTAGATCTTGGACATAAGTTAATTCTGGGGTGCATCATTCAAGGATTATGGATGAAAATGTGTCATCCTCGAAAGAAGGGTCACATATTGCAGTGTGGCAAAGGATTATGAACTTTCATCACTGGGGAAAACCCCCCACCAACCTTCATGGTTTCCGCGGCTGAAATGCATGGTTTGGCTGGCGTCCCGGTGACTTCATCGCTGCCGCTGCCGTTGGCGTTGGGTTGCTTTTCCAGGCATTAAGCTGCTCTGGAGAGGTGTGCTCCTAACGTCTGAAGAGTTGCGTTCGTTTTAAGACTATGTAGTGACTGCACTAGAATAGCAAATTGTTACCATATACAATCGTGTATACGCCGAGTTTTACAGCACATTATTAATGCCATTTTTATGGTAAAATTAGGTTGCCTCAGCTGATATTTGGGCCAGCTTATACTTGAGTATATACAGTAATAAACATTAGGCCTGGGATTGGTGTTTTGACTGGGTAACATTTCTTGTTAGCATACAAGGTTTCAGTGGTAACTTATTCTTAAATCTGTTAAGGTAGGTTTCTGAAGAAATATAAACATTTACCCCCCTGTATATTTTAAAACTCTAAATTTTGGAAAGTATCCCTTTCCTAGTTTGTAGAGTGCTGTTCTTAAACCCATCACCACTGAAATGATCACAGAATTCCTAACTCATGAGCTTTTCCAATATTGGTAGGACTCTGCCCAAATATTTAATTGTGGACCTAGTAAAGTGAGCGTTACCTAAATGCTACCTCCTTCCCTGTGGGATGGCTGGTTTCATGGTTTATCTGTCTCCGTGTCACGCCGCGCAGCCACAAACAAGAAGCCGAGGACATTGTGCGGGTGGCGAAGACGGCCAATGACACATCCACAGAGGCGTATGATCTGCTTCTGAAGACGCTGGCGGGGGAAAAGCAAACCGCGCTTGAGATTGAGGAGCTGAACAGGAAGTGAGTGTCCGTTCATAGTGGCTTACAGCCTTTAAAAATGTCTCGAAGTCCCAGCAGTTCCTGAGTAAAGGAACGTGGCATCAGGGCATGCACTTGCACAGTGAGGTTGCTTTTGAAATGGTGTCGGGATTGGAGCAGGGGATGTGGAGCCACAGAGATTCCATTTGATTCAGTGGCTGAAACTGCCAAGAGCAGTGACAAGACTAGCCATCATACATAAATTTCAGCTTAAAAGAGAAAAAGAACAACACCAAACAGACAAAAATATCACAAAGTAGAGATAATGTACTTGAGCCGTAACTGTTCAAAGGGTGTCTCAGGTAAAAGTTCAAGTTATAAAGACATGAAAGGTGAGTTTAGGGGTGTGTTAGTATTAAATAGCATCTCAATGTAGTGCTTTCTCTGACGTCTTGGGAGTGCTGTTTTAACCCTTTTATTGACCTGGGGAAGTGTCATCCCAGTGTGGCATGCACTGCTGCTTGGTGGGAACTTGTGTGACTGTGAATTTGGAGAAAACGGCCTCACGACACCAGTCCTACCACCAGAGTCATCTTGGGACATACATGCCCCACATAATTGTATCAAAAGTCAGTATTACCAAACACACACAAAAATTTCCCCCGATTCCAACCTGCCTCCCATTACGGAATACACATGGTATCAACAAAAAATTCAAAGCTGGATGTCCTGTGGCCACACAAGGGATAAACTTTCGAGTGACGTTGCGGAATACTATGATGCTGGGGCAGCTAAAGGACTCATGGCATCACGGTTCTTGTTCCCTGTCCTTAGATATGAGCAGGCAAAGAACATCTCCCAGGATCTGGAGAAGCAAGCCGCCCGGGTACACGACGAGGCCAAGAGGGCTGGGGACAAAGCTGTGGAGATCTATGCCAGCGTCGCTCAGCTGACCCCTGTGGACTCGGAGGCCCTGGAGGTATGGGGGGGAGCCTTTCAGCACAGAGCTGTGGGTCCATGTGCTGTTGGCCATCCACCGGCCTCCAGACCCATGCTGCACCACCCCATATCCACCCACCCCCAGTTCCCATTGGCGAGAGTCTGGCTGTCTGCGACTGTCCCAGTCACTCTATCCCTCCGCTCTCCGAGTGGCTCACTGGTAAAACGGAATTCTGTTTCTCATGCAGTCGTAGAATGTTGAGGTAAGGAATCCTGTCATTGGAAGCAATGCATTCTCTAGCCATATGAATAACTACTTCCGTAAAACCGAGCTGTCATTTATTTCCATTGCTTAAAGCCCAGTATACCACCAGCTTTGGTAGTGAACGAGGGAGAAATGAAGGAGGAGAGGGGTTGAGGTGAAAGAACTTGGTCAGAATGCTGTGGGGCGGGTAGAATATGTGGGGATTGGTGAGATTTAGTCTCCTATCTGTCTTCAATTTTGAGTACTCAGATCAGCCTCTGATGCGGGGGTGGGGTGGGTGAGGTCTTCAAAAAGTTCACGGGAAAATTCCACGATCTTTCCCATTTTCCCATGAGCCTGTTGAAGCCTCTTTGCAAGTGCGTGAGTTTTACATTCTACTTAAAGTTTATCACTCACTTGTATCTGAGATCTTGACTGGGTTTTTTACTGTAAAGTTTTAAGTCTCTCCAGACACAAACACACTGGATAAGTCATTGTGTATAAATTTGAGAACATTGTGTATAAATTTGGTCTCGGCTGCAGGGCTGGAGAAGTAGGCTCGGAAGTGACCGGGACGGAGTCCGTGGAGGGAGCCTCTGGGGTGAAAGGGCTCTGGACCTGGGGTGTTGGCTACGCAGTGTGTTCATCCTGTCAGAGCTGTCTTGTCCTTTTCTTTGTCCACTCTAAAGGTTGATCAAGGGAGGACTAATTGCTCCTCTTTCAAAAATAAATACTGGCTCTCGGGGCTCAGGATGGGATTTCTCCCTTGTGCGTGGACACAGCTCTAACGCCCTCTGCGGGCTCTCATGCGGTCTGCTTTTGGGGGGTTCTGTGGACTCCTCTTAATGGCCACTTTCCATGTGATTTTTCGCTCCATTTCTGGTCGTGAACTCTCCCACGGCTCCTTCCATGCGGTCTTGCATGCTTTCCAGAGATGGTGTGTACTCTCTGAGACTGGACTACCCGAAACTTCCCTTTCCCTCCTAAAAGTTACTTGGGTTACAAACGTGAATGTATATGTCTATATAAAATTTATATATGGGGCTCACATTGTTAACCCTTCCTGCTCACCACTTCATCTGGTCTGAAACGTAGTGGTCTTACTTATTTGACACAGAAGGAGGCCAGTAAAATAAAGAAAGGAGCTGAGACCCTGGACCTTCTCGTTGACAAGAAGCTAAAAGACTACGAGGACCTCAGGGCAGACATGAGAGGGAAGGAGCTTGAAGTGAAGAAGCTTCTGGAGAAAGGAAAGACTGAGCAGCAGGTTGGCTTGATTTACAGACTGCTTTCTCTCCCGAAGTCAGACTCGAAGGGGCCAAGTATAAGCTGTGTCTGCAGTGCCGCCGTGCTTCCAGGGGCAGGAGGGAAGTCTGGGGCCTAACGTGGTTTCACACCAAGGTGATGGTGGTAACGTTGGGATGCCTGGTCTTTTATTTATTTATTTATTTATTTTTCTTTTTTAACATTTTATTAGGGGCTCATACAACTGTTATCCCAATCCATACACACATCAATTGTGTAAAGCGCATTTGTACATCGTTTCTCAAAACATTTTCTCTCCATTTAAACCCCCGACATTAGGTCCTCATTTTTCCCCTCCCTCCCCGGTCCCCACTCCCTCATGAGCCCTTGATAGTTTATAAATGGTTATTTTGTCATATCTTGCCCTGTCCGACGTCTCCCTTCATCCACTTTTCGGTTGTCTGTCCCCCAGGGAGGAGGTCACACACAGTTCCATGTAATCGGTTCCCTCTTTCCTACCCATTCTCCCTTTACCCTCCCTGTTTTGCCACTCACACCACTGGTCCTATAGGGCTCATCCATCCTGGATTCCCTGTATTTTCAGTTCCTATCTGTACCAGTGTACCTCCTCTGGTCTAGCCAGACTTGCAAGATCGATTTCGAGTCATGGTAGTGGGAGCGGGGAGGAAACATTTAGGAACTAGAGGAAAGTTGTATTTCTCATCATTGTTACATCGCACCCTGACTGGCTCATCTCCTCCCCGAGACCCGTCTGCAAGGGGATCTCCAGTGGGATGCCTGGTCTTTTAGAATGCTGGTCGCCAACTAGTCCATTTCCACTCAGGGCGGCCTCGTGCGTCTCAAAGCAGACCTGTGCGCCCGGTGGTTTTATTTGGCTGTGAGCTCTCTGAGGAGATCTGCAGGCCTGCCTTCTGAAGTGCAGTTGGGTCGATTAAAAAACCAAACTTTCCATCAGCAGCGTGGCCTGTTAGATGTTTGCAACCCCCAAGGAGGAGGTCCTGTTAGACTAGAACTTAAAGGAGTCCTTTGAGAAGGTGCACTGTCTGATCCGCCCTGTATTCCCAGACCGCTGACCAACTCCTGGCCCGAGCTGATGCTGCCAAAGCTCTTGCTGAAGAAGCTGCCAAAAAGGGACGAAATACCTTACAAGAAGCCAATGATATCCTCAACAACCTGAAAGGTAGGACAGAGTCGAACGGCAGGGGTTGATTTGGACATTTCCTCGATTTTACTTCAAAGCTCCTTTCATGAGAATCTTCTGATACCTGTGGAAGGAAAGCTAATAGTTTAAATAAGACCACCGCCCCACCTGCCATCCCAATTCAAGTTATGGATTTACCACACTGACCTCATTCACTCCCCAGCACTTGCCCTACTTTTGTTATGCTGAGAAAAAGCTCAGCACTCAAGTTGTTTTGCCTCTACATATGCCAGATGTTAAAAAAAATGGGGGGGAGGGTGGCTTAAAAAGAGAAAGTGAGTTGTATAAACAAAATTAAATGCCTGTTTGGCTTATGCTGCTAAATAGAGATCGTTATCCTGAATTTTCTCTATCAGCGGCATCTTCTACTAGGGGTTTCTCTCTTCATCCAAGACGGACGTGTGCCCAGTTCACTGGGTGCTTTTCAATTGTGCTCTGATAAAATTGTCTTGAACTCTGAAACTTGCTGTCATCGAGTCAATGCTGACCCGTAGAGACCCCTCCTCCCTGGGTTCCCGAGACTGTACTGTTTTTTGTGGCCTGTACGGACTGTGACTGTTTATGGGAGTCGTTCTCCCAGGGCTGCGTGGATCGCAGCCCCAGGTATAACCACGATGCCACCAGGGCTCTTGGAGCATTTGTAGTGTGATTACTCAGGGCAGCTGTGCAGGATGATGGTGAAAGCCCGGCCTCTGGTGTGAGCAGGCCTGGGTGTGAATCCTAGGCTATCTCTCACTGTTGACCCGGAGGCAACTTACCGTCTACCATTCCTAGTTTCCTCACATACAGCGATCCCACAGTGCCATGTCACGGCAGCACGCATGAGACAAACTGTGACTGCGTTCTGCCCTGTGTGTGCTGCTGCTGGTGTGCTCCCTGCCCGCTTCACAGTGACTATCCCGTCAGAAGCTTCCCTCCCGCAACGGGTGCATCCTCAGTGACGATGGCCATGGCCGGTAGTGCTTTTGAGGGGAGATGTGTGCTGTATGCATCTCTGGAGGACGTCTGTGTTCTTAATTCACCCCAGCGGCATCACCCCGGGAGGCTCCCCTCGCCTTGCTGGGCATTCAGTCACGTGCATGCTTCCCTTCCACGTGGTGCAGATTTTGACCGGCGTGTGAACGATAACAAGACTGCTGCCGAGGAGGCGCTGAGGAAGATTCCTGCCATCAACCAGACGATCGTGGAAGCCAATGAGAAGACAAGGGAAGCGCAGCTGGCTCTGGGCAACGCCGCTGCGGATGCCACGGAGGCCAAGGACAAGGCCCACGAGGCCGAGAGGATCGCCAGTGCCGTCCAAAAGGTGTGTGCTTCCCTCGCCCACAGAGCCAGCTCACACTCTCGTTTTAGTTTATTTTATTGCCAGTTCACTTTCAAGCTCCAAAACCCCCTGCCACTTTTTTTTTTTAAACTTGACTCCAAGAACCATCACTGCTTCTTAGTTACTACTTCTGCTGTAACACGTATTCCACAAGTGGGTGCCCTTAAAATACAGACATTCATTTCTTAGGGGTCTGGACTGTGTTGACTCCTTCCTTGTCAATAGTCCCGAGCGCCCCTTGGTTCCTTGGTGACCCTCCAGTGGATCTGGTTCCCCAGCATGTGCCCCTATCTGTGTCTAACCTCCCTTTATAGCTCTGAAGTGATGAGGTTCACATAACAAAGGAAACCTGGTCTCTAAATAGGATTGCATCACGGGTATAGGAGTCAGGGTTTCAGTACATATTCTTGGGGGACATAATTCAGTCCATCATACTTGCCATTTCCTTTCATGACTAAGCATTGTTACCTACATAGTCACATTGGCGGGAGGGGAGAGGGTCTTTAAAGTGGCTACTGCTGCTCAGTGGCAGAGTCTGAGTGTGAGGAAGGGAGTGGCTCTGGCGACTAGCACTCTCCTCCCACGGAAACGAAAGCCTTGTCAGACGCTCTAGCCAACACAGTCCTTGAATGTGGACAGTTGCCGTGTTTTCTCTCCAGCCAATGCACAGTGCTGTGTCTTTCGAGCCCCTCCTTCAAGCACATTGCTCTGGCTAATTGGGTTGCTGTGGCTGCACATCTCTATGGAGCGGAAAGCCTCATCTTTCTCAAGAGGAGAAGCTAGTGGGTTTGAACCCCTAACCGAGATTAGCTGTCCACACTTGCTTAACAGCACCACCAGGGTTCGAGACATTTTTATACTCCTCTTATGACTATACCTTCTTTTCTTTAAAGGTCAGTCTTTGTCTCATTGAAAGGAGTAACAGAAAGGTCGGAACCGAGTCTAAATTAGAATCGTGTAGAACTGTTAACTACATCTTGGGTTCTATGTATTTTATAAAACACTTTTATTTTCAGGATTAGGATCTTTTTGTATATTATGATGAGTTGCCAAGAACCAGACTAGCTCTGGGTTTAAAATTTCTCCAGGTGAAGGATTCTGATCAGTATGATATAGCTGAAAAGTGTATCCTATTTAAATTGGTTACACTTAATAGCTTTGTGAACTGCACTAGAAATGGCAGCAGCAGGACGGGTTATTTGGAGGATTAAATGAGAGGGTACAAATGAGCATGCTGCATAAAATGTGTTGGCTGGTGGTGATCGTTTTTTACTACTGCTATTTTGAATGCAAATAACGAATTGTGTAATTCAAGATATTACTGTGGGAATCCTGGATCCCTTCCCCACCCCCACCGCGCTGTCCCCCATGGCTACACATTACGGAAGGGGGCAGGCGCGTGCTTGGTGTTTTTGTTTCGTTAGTAACTGGCGTGCTTTGGGCCTAGAATGCCACTAGCACCAGAGCAGAGGCGGAAAGGACTTTTGCCGAAGTGACTGATCTGGACCAAGAGGTGCACGACATGCTGAGACAGCTACAGGACGCAGAGGCGGAGCTGCAGCGGAAGCAGGACGACGCTGACCAGGATATGATGATGGCAGGCATGGTGAGAGCCTTGGGCAGCTTGGTTCACCAGGCAGAGCGAGAAGGGCGGTTCTTACCAGGATATGATGATGGCAGGCCTGGTGAGAGCCTTGGGCAGCTTGGTTCACCAGGCAGAGCGTGAGGGGCGGTTCTTACCAGGATATGATGATGGCAGGCCTGGTGAGAGCCTTGGGCAGCTTGGTTCACCAGGCAGAGTGAAGGGCGTTTCTTACTCAGAGTCCCCACCTGGATGAGAAGTGTTTCGTTTTCATCCTGACTTCTGCTTGTCCTTGGATTTTCCGGTCAAAAACCAGGTTAGGTTCTGACATAGAAGACAGAGAACTTGGATTTTCTGCCAGGTATTTCTCTTGCCCAGTTGTCCTGCCCCAAAGCTCCTCTCGGTCAGAGCAGAGCTTTGGTTTATACCCTGGAGGTTTTAGCACATTTAAAAATAATATTTTAAAGATTGCGAATGGGTAATTTCTAAGGGCATAAAATTGAAAAGGAGCAAAAACGCAAAAAGGAACTTACGTTCCTCCTGCTCCTGTTCTCCCGGCACTTTGCTCCCTCGGGGAAAGAGCAGTGTCGGTGTCCCAGGGCTTCTACACAAACGGTGCTCGCCACTACCAGCGCCAGAAAGCACCATCCGCACGTCTCCTTTAACTTTCCACGTCTGTGATGGTGCGTAGACCTAACACAGTGGTCAGCAGAGTGGACGTGTGGAAACGCGGGCCCAGAAAGAACTTTGTCTGTTGCTGCTCTGTTTTGCTTTTGAAAGGCTTGAGTGGTTTCCTTCCTCCGACAGCACCCTTGACTGGGGATCGTTTGATTGTTGGATGGGAGAGAGAAATATTAGAATTGTCAGTTAGACAAAAGACTGTAACAAAACAAACCAGTTACCATCGGGTTGACCTCGTTGCAGAGTGACCCCTGGGTGTCAAGGGTGACTCCTGGGTATCAAGATTGGAGGGGGATTCTGGAAGGGGCAGGGGCAGTGGCTGGTATTTTGAAAGATGCCAGGCCTTTCTTTCAAGATTCCTCTGGATGGACTAGAACTGATAACCTTCCAGTGAACAGCCAAGTGTGTTACCTGCTCACACCACCCAGGGACTCACAACCAGAAAACCTTGGGAAAGTCAGCATAGGAAGTAATCGTTATGTAAACACCTGATTTGCATATGCTTTTTTAGTTCGTTGGTTTTTTGGTTTGGCTTCATTTTCTTTTGGCAAGGTATGACTCAAGTGGAAATTCCCATATAGTTCAAAACAAAGCAAAACCCAAAAAACCTCCCGTAGATGCTTAAGATCTGTGGGCTTCATTTTTTTAAATGTGGTTGGAATAACATTCGAGTTGGAAACTATTGAAAGAAAGGAACCGATATGCTCTTTGGGATTTTCGGGAAAGGGCATGGATTTCGTTCAAAGGTATATATATCTCATTACTTTTGGTACAGAAATTATGAGGAACACAAACACCTTCAATAACACCGACCCTTTTATATCACATCAGTCCGGAAAAATCGACATTAAACTAACCAGATCAACTGCCCTGAGTCCGTGCTGATGCACAGGGACCCTGTAGGGCAGAGCAGACCCGTCCCTTGGGTTTTCTGAGACTCTACCTCTGTACGAGAGTAGAAAGCCTCATCTTTCTCCTGTGGAACAGCTTGTGGTTTCAAACTGCTGACCTTGAGAGTAGTAGCCCAACATAGAACCTATTATGCTACCAGGTGCTCCTGGAGTCTGAAATTAAAAAAATATATGTTTTAATAACATTTTTATTGTGAATTAGGTGGGCATTTACTCTTTTTTTTTTTTCCTCCACCAGTAGAGTGCAGGCATGGAGGGGCTTCTGGGTGAGGAGGAGGAATCAGCAGGTTAAACCGAGTGGTGGGCGTCAGTATGCACCCCATGGCAGTGAGGGCTGAGTCTTCTCGCAGGGACAGTAGCCACGCCCTTCCTTTCTCCCCCGCCAGGGAAGGCTCAGGGAGGGCAGCGGTAGCCTGTCGAGGGGGCCTTCATTCACTTGTTCTTTTTTCCTTTCAGTTTACATTGTTTTGATGCAAAAGCAATCTAGCATTTTCTTGACCCCAAACTGGGGAGGAACCTTTCATTCCTAGGGAGCGCACAGCCACCCCTGTCTGATGACTAGCTGTCGCTGTGAGAGCCTCTGTTTTCTGATCCTCAGACACTTCCCCTGACATTGCCGTTTCCTGCTGTGACTCAGGCCCATTGTATTTGTTCAGGTTTCATGGAGTTTTCCCAAGTATATTTACCTTTGGTGGATTATTCCGATGTAAATTGTGTTGCCCCAATCAGTAGATGTGTGCATGCATGTGTGCATGTCTGTGTTGGTGGCGGGGTGGGGGGAGAGGGGCTAGCAAAGACTCCCCTTGGTTATGAACATTTTTTTAAAGAATGGGACATTTCTTAGAAGATCCCAAAAGCACCCAGAAGGATATGCTTGGATTCTAAGTTTTACTATACTCCTTGAAAACATGCAAAAACAACATGTTGCTTGATGGACTTCGTTGCTCCTCGGGTCTTCTTAATTTCACGTGTGAGTGAGAAGGGGAGACTGTGCTGCCCCCTGACAGGTTAATGCAGTGCTGGGTGCCGGCATTGCTGTAGTGAGATGCTGCTGAATGGGCCGTGACTCATGGCGACCCTTCGCCATCCCTGTGATCCGTTCCGAAATGGAAGATTTTCGTAGAGTCCATTTTAGTCTGAAAACGCCACTGAAACCTGTTCAGCAGTGTGTTAGCCTCCCTGCAGTAGATTGGCCAGGACTGGAGCCCAGGTCTCCTGCCCAGCAGGTGAACCAGCAGGGCCTCATGAGTACAGGCATAAGGACTGTCTATCCTTGCTGTTCACTCATCTAGAAATAACAAGCCCTTCACCATGAACATAAGATTCCCTCCAAGAAAAAACCTACAGTGAGAATGTCATTTCATGAGTGGGGAGACACAAAAACACTGGGTAATTAGATTTGTTGGTTGACTGGGTACAAGAAAACTGTTTCAAGAAGATGAAAAAATGGCTTGTCTCTTTCTCCTTGTTCCCTCTCCAGGCATCTCAGGCTGCTCAGGAAGCAGAAATCAATGCCCGGAAAGCCAAGAACTCCGTCAACAGCCTCCTGGCCATTATTAATGAGCTCGTCGGGCAGCTGGGTAGGTAGTCAGAGAGCCAGCTGAGCCGCTAGCCTCTATATTTTATCTTCAAGACCTACTATTGTGCATGCAAAAGCAGTTAGCATAGGTTTGCCTGACTCCCAGTCAAGTAGTCCAGTAAAATCCTTAAGATTTATGTTTGTTTCAGCTCTTGCTTATTTAAAAATGCCTTATCGGTATGTGTCTTCCATGTTGGAGCCTTTGCTAAGAGCACCTTGCTGCAGGACAGCGTTTGTATCCTCACCTGTTTAGACTATGACCAGAATCTTGCATGGTGTGAGCCAAAAAATACCAAACCGACTTCTCCGAGTCAACTCCAACTCTTAGCGACAGAGTTTGTGGGTTTCCATGACTGTAACGCTTGATGGGAACAGAAAGCCTCACCTTTCTTCCTTGAAGGGGCCCTTGGGTTTGAACTGTCTAGTAGTCCAAAACGTAACTCACTGCCTCGCCAGGGCTCCCCGAGTCACGACTTGTACTAATTCAACACGTCTTACAGACTCACGTCAGTAGAACTCTCTGATCCAAAGCCTTTCTTTCCTTATTTTAAGCTCTGCTGCCAGTATGGAGGGCTCATTCATGGTCACCGTTCATGCTGTAATGAAATAGTGACTTAAAAAAAACTTTTTTTAGCTCGTTCTACAGGGTGAATGTCTTTAAGGAATTGAAAGGGAATGGTCTCAAGGATAGAAGAAGAAGAAACACCTGAGACTAGTCATGCAGTCACTACCTGGTCACTACCCATCCTTCCCTAACTCAGAGCTAAAGTGGTGACATGGGAAATGCAAAAAGAGAGGTGAAACCACTGAAATGCCAAGGAAATATGAAGGGGCTTCAAAAAGTTCATGGAAAGTTTTCCTTACTTTAGAATTCCATTTTTCTGCAAAGTTTTTGAATTCCCTTATAGAAGAAGTGTACGGAAGCCTTCTTGTAACCTGGTTGATGGCAAGGGGGGGGGGGGGCTTCATTCTTGAACACGTACACCTTTGTCACCAGACTTTGTTTTAAGGTGCTAGTAGTCCAGTGGGGACAGCTTTAGACCAACGTATTGTAATATAATTTGTGAGCCATTAAAGTAAGGAGCCCTGGTGGTGCTGGGCTGCTAACTGCAAGATTGGCAGTTCTAGCCCACCAGCCACTCCACTGGAGAAAGATGAGGCTGTCCAGTCCTATAAAGATTTAACCTTGGAAACAAGTTAGAATGAGTTTAGAGTCTTTTTAAAGTATGGCTAGTGCTTTGTGGGATTTTTTTGTTGTTGTTTTTTTAAGAGAGGAATTTTATTTTTTATCTGTTTCAGATGTTTAGACTCAGCTTTGTGCCAGCAGAGTGATTTAAAGTGAAAGTAAACTAGAAGAGAGGGATTTTTATTTCATTTTATTTTTAAAACAGAAAGAAGATCACTTTAAAGTCTGTCAGACTTGGTTTACAATCCTTGCTTTGTTGCCTGTTACTGTGTAAACTTGGGCAAACGAGTTAAGGCCTTAGAATCACCGATGTCAAATGGTGTCATGCAGATTAAGTCCAGTACATTGTGTATGAAGCTCTGCTCACTGTACAGCTGTCCATTTTCATGGATTATGGAAGCAATTCCTTCAAAAAGAACTTACCCCACCCCACCCCACCCCATCTTGCCCATTTTAAAGCGAAGCTGTGTTGAGATGGTTTCAGCCTTCCAAACTCAGCCATTTTTCCATGAGTGGGCTATTAATTGCATTTAACTCTTGAAAGTGGTTGTGACCGTCCAAATCAGCCCATTCTCCCTAGAAGTCAACTAGCAGTTCTATTTTAGAGATTTTTATGTCCTTCTGGATAGCACTAAAATGACAGTGTGCATTTTCATCTGCAGACATGAGGGTAAAAGGTATTAAATGTTACCAAATGACATTCAGAACCACACACAGAGGCTTAACATCTGGAATGTGGCCCCTCTGCCTTTAGGGAGCGTAGCACAAACGCCGTTTTCCTGCAGAATAAAACCATCCCCGCCCACTTTAGCTGCACTCCCCGACCTTCCTCTCCAGACCAGCGCTGGGACTTGGCTGACCTTGGTGATGCCCGACATCACCAGCCTGCAGTTTAACTCTCGGTCTGCGGTGTCATCTTTACATGGCTACAGCTGCTGGTCCGCGTTTATCAAAAGGCCTGCGGGCCCGCGTTGTGGCATGCTGTGATCCTTCTTACGGATGCGTCTCTCCTGTGTCCTCTCTGGCTCTGCAGGGCAGCTGGACACGGTGGACCTGAACAAGCTCAATGAGATCGAAGGCGCCCTCAACAAAGCCAGAGATGAGATGGAGGTCAGTGACCTCGACAGGAAGGTGTCCAACCTGGAGATGGAAGCCAGGAAGCAGGAGGCTGCCATCACGGACTACAACCGCGACATCGAGGAGATCCTGAAGGACATCCGCAACCTGGAGGACATCAAGAAGACCTTACCGTCCGGCTGCTTCAACACCCCATCCATTGAGAAGCCTTAGCGTCTTCCTTCAGGAGCTGGAAGGCAGCCCCCTTCCCCCTTGACAGCGGGGGCACTTGTGAGGCCACCGAGTTGCCTTAACACAAAGATGACATTATTTTTCAGACCCCCCCCCCCACTTCTTTGCGGCTCTCCATCACTGTCTTTTTGAACTAGGAAAAGTCACAAAGTTTAAAGAGAAGCAAATTAAACATCCTCAATTGGGAACAAAGGGTTTTATCTAGCAAAGTCTCTCCTTCTCCAGAATCCCTCTAACATACACACACTTAGCCTTCTGGATGGGCCTACGATGTGGTACCTTCCCCTACTGTCCGGTGGTGTAGACCCCTGCATGGACCCTCACGTGCCTGGGCAGAGCAAAGCCCCCCCGCCCCCTCTGACACCAGCAGAACCTCCACAGTCTCAGCACTCTTGTTTCTATGAAGGAAAAGCTTGGCTACTCGTAGCATTGTGCTGGCCAGTGTACCCCAAAAGATAGAGAAAGAAACACATCTGCCTCTCTCCTTCTGTTGAACAAAAGGAAATAACTGTCCTGTGCCAAAGGTGTTTGTTAGTGAGGATTTCCGTAGCCATCTGTCAGTTGTTATCGCTGCTGTGTGCAGGGTACTGAGCCATCCTTGGGTAAGGGTGCAGTTATTACTCATGACGGTCTCTAAGGGAATGTGAGACGATCGAAGTAGGCTAAAGATTTTTATTTTCTCCTGTGTTAGTTCTTGACTTAGGAAGATGAACTTTTTTCCTTTTTTTCAGGCAGCTGATAACTTATGTCTGGAAGGACAGCTTACACTCACCGGTAGACCAATGAGCGTCTTTTAGGTTCCTTTAAAGGGAGTTGAAAGAGAAGAGATAGGCCTGTGATAACCACTAAAGTCTTTCTCAAAATCAAACTAGTTTCTTGGAGCTTTTAGAAAAGTTTTGGGTTTTGTTTTTCAGTATGCCCAGAGAGCTAGTACTCTCTGGAAGAGAACAATTGGTGCCTTAAGGTCTTGACAAAACCCAACACACTGCCTTGTCCTGGCCTCTTCCTGCGAAGGAGTAGCCCGGGGATCCGACTCGCATCGTCGGGGTCCTCTGTGTCCGTTTTTCTTCTTTGTGGGGATGACCCGCTTTCTCAATGATGCTCCCATCTTCTAGAATCCCATCGCAGCACAGTGCTGACTGTCCGATCCTGGGGGCAAGTCCCTTGTACTCAGCATTTCATGCCGCTGCCCAACACCTACCATCTAGTCCTACACCTGGTGATTTAAACCCCCTCTCAACCTTCTCTCTCTGGATGCAGAGAGAAGACCTTTAGATGGAGTTTCCTAGTGGGCTTCTCAACTTCTGAGCCCCCGCTCTGTGATGTTCAGGTCACAGTGTGACAATTCCCTCCCTCCCCCCTTCCACCATCCCTCCTTTGAGATTCATATATAGCCTTTAACACTATGCAACTTTGTACTTTGCGTAGCGGGAGGGGGGGGAAGAAAACTATTATCTGACACACTGGTGCTATTAATTATTTCAAATTTATATTTTTGTGTGAATGTGGTATTTTTTTTGTTGTTTATCATGATTATAGAGTAAGGAGTTTATGTAAATAGACTTGGCCCTATTTCTAGAATGGCACTGTCTGCTCACTTCTCGGCCTCAGTTTCCCTCTTCCCTGGTGCAACACATTTTCATCCCTCCTGCCTTTCTTCCTCCGGGGGGTGTTGGTCCCCCATCACTTGGCTCTTCGCCTCGTGTTTGCAGCATCTCCATTCTCTGATCTTAACCTCAGCCTGCTAGCCTCTCCAGGCAGCCGCCAGCCAGAGGGCCCATTGTACTTCTGCTGGCCCACACGGCAGCACAGCATTGTCTTTGATGCCTGGCCCGGAGCAGGAAAGCTGTCCAGGCTGAATATGGTGAATTTAGGAAGTCCTGATGGGTAGGACTGTGGTGCTAGGCTGGAGTGAGTTAGAAATGCCCTTTCTGGAGATGTTTTGAGCCCTGTCGGGTCAGTTTTATAAAGGAATGCATGGGTACTGAGCATTTGTGGGGCATCGGGGACCATGCTGCAGGGAGGCAGACTGACAGGGAGAGAGAGGCCTTGTCCTGGCCTCCTCCTGCAACGGAGTAGCCTGGGGATCTGACTTGCGTCTGTCTCCTTGGGGCATGCCAGAGTATACCAAAGACCCTCCTCACGTGGAGTAGCCCCCAGCCTTGACTTTTCTCCTGGGTCCTCTTATATTGCTCCTGGAGGCCTGGCTTGTCACATTTTCACGTCAGCCTTTCCTGGCCAGTCCCTCCCGTCACATGGCCCCATCCCAACATCCACCATCTGGTCAAGACTGCAGAACAGGATCGAAGACCACGGGCCAAGGCCATTTTCCACCGAGCCTAGGAGTCCTGTTCACTCCAGCCAGTCTTTGGAGCGCTGGGACGTGGTTTTGTTTTCTGCTGTCCATCCGTGTGGTCTGTGTTCCCACAGGGTTTTGTGTGTAAAAGAACAATTCTTCAGGAGACGTTCAGGCCACCCCTGCAGTCCAGCCAGTCTCCTGTGGAAGTCGTGTAGAACACCGAGAGGAAGGTGCTGCAGGACGCCCGGTGCCCTGGGGACTGGGGGGTGCCTCCCCTGGGGACTGCCTTATCGAATCGCAGCTGTGGCCCTTGACCTGTGCCTTCGCCTGAGCGGTTTGCCTTAATCTCTACAGCCTTGTTCTCCGGGGTGCTGAATCAGATGCAACACTTGGCATTTTTTATGTTTAAAAGAACAAAAAACAGTATTTTATTTATAATAAAATCTGAATATTTGTAACCCTTTACCTCTGTGGTGTGGACTGAGTGTGATGCTGGGGCACACGGTGGTTGACCGGGAGCGGGGACGGGGAGGAAGGCGTTCAGCGGATCTGATCTGGGTACTTGTTCGGGTACGTTGTGGTCTTCTTCAGCATGCCTCAGACAGGCCCTCAGGTGCCGTGGTTCAGAAGTCCGCGCACTTTTCCAGGAAAAGCACTCGGTAACTATTTTAGCCTCTGCCAGGCACACAGTCCCTGCCACAGCTTCTCAGCTCTGCGGTGGTCACACAAAACCAGCCAGAACAACGCCCAAGCAGCATGACCGGCTTCCAGTGAGATCGTATTCACAAAAACAGGCCTCGGGCCGAAGGCCATAGTTTGCCACACCTCTGGCGTAGTTTTAAAGTGGATTAATAGCTATACTGAAAACGATCAATTATTTGGGCTTCCTAAATTAGCAGTTTCATTTCAGAGTTAGTTGTCGACCTAGAGCCTGTGTACACATCCGCAGACTAAAGGTAGTTTGTTCAGGGGATGAGACGCTCTCAAGCACATGAAGAAAACTGCTGCAGCAGCGTCCTGTGCCTCGACCCCGGGAGGGGACTGTCCCAACAGGAGCACAGGGCCCGCACCAGGTCGTGTGGCACAGGAGAGGCAGCAGGAAGTACCTGGGACTGTAAGGGCCACCCTTTGACTCCTTGGCACTTCCCTTGTAACCCTGGGCCCCAGTGGATCAAATGCCACCTTCTCGTTCTTGCACATGTCTAAGACCCATGACACCTTACGGGACAATCTGGACTCGCCTCAAAGAGGCCACAGCCAGTACCAGAGGAGTCTCAGTGGCACACATGACACATGTTCAGGTGCCGGCCAGAAGATCGGTAGTTCAAATTCCCATGGGTCACACACAGCCTTGAAACTCCTGGGAAAAATAGGCCTCCTCTGCACATGGGAGGCTGCCCGGATGGCAGCTCCCACCGCCACCGGTATTCCAGCTAAGCAAACACTGGGCGGGCCTGCGTATCCTACAGTGTTGCTATGGGTCAGAACCAACGTGGTTGTACCTGACAACAGCAATGACCATTTCCCACAGCCGACCAGTTCCTATCCGTGGTCTCCAGGGGCTCCCATTACTAGCTTTCTTCCATCCCCTGTTCTTGACCTCAACCTCAAACCATTTCCCCCATTTTGTAGTTGATTCAGAAGTAAATGTGTCTCCTTGTAAGCATGAATCATAGGTGTTAGTTTTAAAGTTTGTTCTGATTCCATTTTGGGGGTTTAGCAATCCCCTCCCCCCCGCCCCAAGAGTTGATACCAGCATAATTTGATTTCAAATATGTCAGAGTTTACTCCTTAAATAAACATTCTAGCCCCTGCATCAACCTGAACCTGCCAATCCCACATCTGTGATGCGCACAATGGAATGAATGTCTGAAGAAGCCGCCGCGCGCGCAGAAGGGCCCCCAGCTAGAGTAGCAGCAGGTGGGACTTAACCTCCCAATGTGGGGCGGGGGGGCTTGGACATTCAAGGATGAAGGCCCAAGGAAATAGGAAGTCTTAGGAGGTCCGTAGATGAGGGCAACGGGAAACAAGTGACAAGTGGTAGATGAATTCGCCTGTTCGGGAAGCAGGTGCAAGAACACTGAGTATTCATAGCGGGGATGATAAGACATGTCCTAGTAGGTACCTCGGGCCGATGGGGCCAGGCTCATCAGCCAACTCCCCCAGGGGGTAGGGGCGAGGGGTGACACAGGCCATTAGCTATCCCCCTAATCATTTTCTCATGAGTAACTGGGACCTCAGACTGGTGCTTTGGGGGCCAATTCCATGCGTCCATCTGAAAAGAGATCTCTTGTCACTTTGGTAACTAAATTCAACCATCAACTTATGTTCTATGGCAAGTGGCGTTACAGATTTCCAGTGCCCGGTGCCAGTCTTCGTATGTCATACCGCCGACCAACTGCCACTGAGTCCTTGCTGATGTCGGCGCAGAGGGTTCTCGGTGGCCGCTTGTCTGCTGCTTGTCCGTCAGCAGGCCTGTCCTCAGAGGAGCGCTGGGGTGGACTCCAACGGCCAGCTTTTCTGGTTGGCAGCCAGGGCCTCTCTCGGCCTTTCTACTTGGACACACTATCCGCCTGTCTCAGGGACCCGGCCCTTTCTTCCTCGGGAGCCCCCCTTCTCCAGGGGGATTTGTGCAGAGTAAGCATGAGATCAGCCCGGAGCAGAACTGTCTGGGGGAGGACGCGCTGTTCGAGTGTGGATTACAAGTTCGGGGTTGATGAGCCAGCGTCCGAGGCAAGCTTGGGGAGGAAGAGCTATGATTTCAGTGATGATGTGTTTAGCGTGGCCAGCGGGGTCTGTTCCAGCTTGCTGGTCGCAGCTCAGACAGCCGGCTCTGCTCTCCTGGTTGTGCTGATGTAGAGAGTTGGACGTGCCCGAGGGAATTGCTCTGCCACCCAGATTCCAGATAAGGCTGCCTCCGAAGCTCCTGAGGGACCCGGGAAGGCCCAGGCTTCTGTGGTGTTCCCTGCCTTGCAGAGCACCTCCACAGGGATTCCCTTAACTTCTCCTGCCTCTCCATGCAGAAGGGGTCCACTTACCCCTCAACGGTGCAACCCCCAACTGTGGTTTGCTGCTCCATTGCCCCAACGACTGGTTTTGCACATGGGCTCATTCTCCAGAGCCATTTCCCTCTGAATAATCAGAGAAGAACTGCACTAGAAATCCTTAACAGAACAAAATCTCACCGTTGAGTTTAACTGCTGAAACCACCAGACACTATGTAATTGTCCCCACAAGGATCAAGGTCCAAGTAGACTGTTTTTTATGTTAGGCTGCCTCCAATCCTTTTTGAAAAGAAGCAAAACTCTACCCAAGCTCACTACACCGAATGGATTCTGACTCCTAGCGACCCTATAGGACAGAGGAGAATCGCCCCTGTGGGTTTCAGGGACTGCAACTCTTCATGGAGCAGAAAGCCTTGTCTTTCTCCTTGGAGGTACTGGGGGGTTCGAACTGCTGATCTTGTGGTCAGCAGCCCAACACTTAACCGCGACGTCACCAGCAAAGTACGTGTTGTCAGTTACTTGTCCTCAGGCACCACACACTGCTCACAATGCATGCTCACTCCTCTTGCTTCATCGCCTCCCTGCCTCCCTCCCCGCCCGCCTTTAGGCTCAGGCAGAGGAGCACAAGGTCAGTTCACTCGGATCATCTCGCTTCATGTAGACTTCACCTAAAATGCATTCCTTGGGAACATGCCCTCCTTCCATTTTCCTTTTTAAAACAAGGAATTAAAAAAAAAATTGAAATTATCATTTCAAATAATTTTGTACTTTTAAAGTATCGCTTGTCATAGCATGTTATGAATGATAAAAAAAATAGTTTGATGTTCTATGGAAGCAAATGTTTTGTCTTATTTAAAAATTGAAATGCTACTGTAAGAGTTTTTGCAGAGTGGTAGAGAGTGTTTCTTGCCCAGATTCTCTCAGGTTAAGATTTGACATTACCCAGCTACCTCACACCTCCCCAAAAGGTTGCACTATAGAGGACAGCACTGAAGATATAACCCGGGACAGTGGTGGCGCTGCCCAAACCACATGGGAGCCAACTAAGAGGGAGAGACAGAGAGTGAGCACTGCATCCTGGCCCCCCAAGCCCCGAGGACAACACTCAGAGCATCCAAGGCACAGAGAGGACTGTAGGGCCGGCCCCACCATGAGACACGACATCCCCTCACTGACCAACAGCACTGCAGGGCACAGCACTGCAGACACTGTAGGAACTGTGCCTGGTCTGACCCTTCCACACGGGGGCGAAGCACGAAGGGAGCACAGCAGGGGGTCTGTCTAAGATAGACAAGATGGGGAGGAAACAATGGGCCCGATGGTTCTGGCGGACGGAGGTGGGAGAAAGGGTTGGGCGAGCCAATAAACCAGGGACAAGGGAACAACAAGAGATCTAAAACCGAGGGTGAGGAGGGGGTAGAACACCTGGCGGGGTTTGAGCAAGTACACTGTAGCCGAGAGGAATTACTGAGAAGTGAATGAAGATCAAACATGATAGTGGGACAGGAGGAAAGTACAAGAAAATAGAGGAGAAAACTAGGAGGCAAAAGACATTTATAGAGGTTTAATGTTTACATATAAATATATAACAGTAGGGATCTAGGTCTGTGTACATATATGTTAAGTATCAGGTAGCAGATGGACATTGGTCCTGCCTCTACTCAAGTCCTCCTTCAACGAAGAACACTTTGTTCTAATAACCCGGCTTTCTGTGATGCTCACCTTCCCTGACATGATTGCTGAAGTCAAAATGGGTGCATAACAAATGTGGTGAAGAAAGCTGATGGTGCTCAGCTATCAAAAGATGCAGCGTCTGGGATATGTAAGGCTTGAAGAAAAACAAGCAGCCATCCAGCTGAGAAGCAACAAAGTCCACATGGAAGAAGCACACCACCCTGTATGATCATGAAATGTCAATGGGATCAGGTATAAGGCATCAGAAAATCCAGAACAAAAATCACACCAATGTGAATGAGGGGGAGGGCAGAGTGGAGACCCAAAACCCATCTGTAGACAATTGGACAACCCCTTACAGAAGGGTCACAAGAAAGAGATGAGCCAGGCAGGGCAGTATAGCACCAATGAAACATACAACGTGTCTCCAGTTCTTTAATGCCTCCCTCCCTCCCAGCCCCTGCCCCTACTATCATGATCCCAAATCTACCTTACAAAGTTAGCTAGACCAGAGCATGTACATGGGTGCACATAAGAGCTGGAAGCATAGGGAATTCAGGACAGATAAACCCCTCAGGACCAATAATGAGCGTAGCAATACCAGGAGGGTAAGGTGAAGGTGGGGGTTGAAAGAGGGAACCGATCACAATGATCTACATGTAACCTCCTCCCTGAGGGACGGGCAACAGAAAGTGGGTGAAGGGAGACATCGTTCAGCATAAGACATGGAAAAATAATAATTTATAAATTATCAAGGGTTCAGGAGGGAGGTGGGGGAAATAAGCT